TATATATATATATATATATATATACACATAAACTTTTTTATAGAAGAGTTTGGGGAGTACAATTCTTAGACTAGAGGAGATAGGGCACCTGAATTTAAATTCTTATATTTTAGTTATTATTAGGTATTCTGATAAGGCATGAATTAATTGGTAGACAAATGCTATTTTAATTCTTCATTCCAAAAGAGGAAGGGGCTCGTGTTTTGGAAGGCATAAAAATTATGGAGGTTAATAATTTTCGTGAAATACTAAAGTCTTATTCATGATGTTTAATGAGTAATGGGGTGAATTATTTCTTTGAAAGTAGCAAATTTTGATTAAAGTATGAGAAATCTTGGATGCAACCCTATTGTTTAAGGGTGCCTGGATAAGCTCTTGGAAGTTCTTTATATGCAAGGTGTGCATATTATCTTGTGGACTGCAATATCTTTACATTCATAGAAGATTGAGTTCTGGTGATGGGTGGAACGAATTGGTTTAGCGTGCTACTCATTTGTGCCCCTCTTTTTTTTAATTAACTTGTAATGTAATATTCGTTCTTAGTTTTCAATGTTCTTGGTAGTGTGGAAACAAGAGTGGATTAGTCGAAAGCAGTGTTTAAGAACTAAGTGACTCCGACTTGGACTCATCCGAGTTGCTTGGAATTGGCACCCTGAGGGTTCTGGATGGCCCTGGCTCTGATTAACCACGTTATGACTGAGTCTTGCTGAGTCTTACTGAGTCTTGACCAAGTCTGTCCGGGTCTTAAAAAAACCATCGCCTCGGGCATTCCCAACTGATTCTACCATAGAGGCCAACGATAGACAATAACTCCCCCCTGAACACAGCTTACAAAAGGATTCGACGTCCCCCCACCCCATGCTACGATTCCCTGTGGTCCGAACCCGGTGCCACATTAGGTTAGGGAGCAGGGCTATAATAGCTCCTCTGCATCCCAAAGCGTGCTGCCCTCCTAGGCACGCAACACTATGTAATCCAAGCCAATCCACTAGTGAGATTTGACTGATTCTTGAGCGGTTACACTCAGTACTTGGTGAGCTGACTTGGAACAGCCCTGGTGAAGTTGTATGTCCAGTTCCATGATTTGACACTGATCGAAAAAAAAGAGATGGGAGCAGGATAGATTATTTGGAGGAAATACTGAGGCTCTTGGGGTTTTATCTTGTAATCTTTGCTGATGTATTTGTAGGTTATGAGTACGCTTGTTAAGATATAAGGGCATCATTGGCATTTTTATACAACATGATACTTTCTTTTTGTACTTCCGCGTATCCAAGGGAACCTGAGTCATTCCATGTATTCCGAAGGGTAGCTAATTCATGTTACTTGTTGTAGATTATGCACAACCTTTTATTAAGGTTGTGGATCCTGAGAAGAAAAAATATTATATCAGAATGTTCATGATTCTCTCTCTCTCTCTCTTTCTCACATGCGCGTGTGTGCGTCTGTTGTGGGATTTCACATGGTATAAAGACCATGTGGATTCATCTATGCTTTTTAGGAGATATTTATTTTTATTTTGCAAGGTAGTTTTATCTAAAGCAGCTGGCTAGGCGCATATTAGAATCCTGAGAGCTGACACAATTCAGGGTGCTTTTATATTGTACCTAGAATTAAGGAGGGCAGGGAAAGGCTAGGGGTTTTATTCTTACCCCATCAAGTGACATTGAACCGCCTATTTTGGTTATAATAGCTTAGTTACTATTTGAATTTGAAGTTTCTCCAAAACATAGAAAAGAATTTCTTTCCCAGAAAAGTAAACCGAACACCATAATTTTGCTTTGATACTCCATGAGACTTCACAGGAGCTTGGGGGAGTATTGTTTCTCATGTGCTGGGCCTATCTTGCTTTAGAAAAGCATGAAGCCAGAGTGTTAAGATACCCTATAGGATTTCACCTAGCATCAAGTATGTATGCATGCTTTAGCTTTTAAGTCTTTTTATATGAGGAATTAATTTGATCGAAACTGATACTATATATCGTAGGATGTATGTCTGTGTGTCATCATCATAAAAATAAGGGCATTTGGTTTTTATCATAGTTATAAAGATCAGGTCGGACCAATCAATACAATTGATCGAATTGCCAACTGGTGCTTTAGCTCGTCTAGTTTAAAGCAAAAACTATTATTTGTCAAAATCATTGGTTGACTGGTTTTAACATTGCAAAGAAGCTTGTTTTTACTAATTGGACTGGCTAAGCAGGGTTAGACAATTTTTTTTTGTAATATATTTCATAATTTTTTTACTATTCTTCTTTATTTTTTTAAACAGTAAGGTTTAACCAATTCAAGGTGGTTGGATTGGTAGTTTGGTGGCCGGTCTAGTTCTAATAACACTGGTGTCATTTTTTTATTTTTTAAAATTTTTTTATTAATTTTTTTACTAAAAAAGATATCCGTGTCTAGTGAAGTCCTAATTTTTTGAATTTATAGGATAAAGATAAATTCCCAAGTTATATGAAATTCCTTGGTTTAATTTTTTGGAAAATAAGGAATTTTCTTTCATTTTTATTTTTTTAATATGGCAAATTGTTATTGTTTGAAATATGATTTGTGTCAATTTAAAATAAGTTTTTTGAAATTAATACATAAGGGAAATGGTTTGATAGGGCTGCAGCCCAATCAAAATAAGTAAAGCCTCACCTCATAATTCATCACAAAGTGCAATTCAAGTGTTGAAAAAAGCATTAAATCGATCATCTCAGCTTGAACATTATAGTTGTGCAAAAAAATTAGGATTTCAAATTCTGAAAATAGTGTATATTGCAAACATCTAGTAAGTACTAATACTACTATGGCTACATATATATAAATATGTGTGAATTAGATTATTTCAAATAAAAAATATCTATTTATATTTGATCAAAATTTAAATCAAATAATCAAATTAAAGTATAAATATAAGACAAATTATCTAGACCATCCATTTCACCCTAAAATAAGTGTTTACAGATACTGCAAAATCTGTACCATTTTTTGAGTTTCAAATTTATTGTCGGTGTTAGAAATTAATTTTAGAGCCATCATGAAGATTTCTGATGCCGAAAGTGCTTTCTAGATGAGGATTTGAGGTGAGGCTCCATTTTGTTTTCATAAAGCCTAGTCCCTATAGAAACTTCATCCTTACATAAATTGATTGGTTGTGCCTGCTAAGGCTTTGGACTGGTATTTATTAGTCAGAGTTTCACCACCTTGGAACTGAAGGGGCCTGTGGTGAGTTCCTGGGGGCAGCGCCCTCATCACTTAGGAGCCTACTCATACTCATGCATTAGATAACCCTGCTGGTTCACCCTACTTCAACTTTCTCTACTGGAGATTAAGTTTATCTTTCAGATAATAGATTCCTTTAAATAAACATTTTGAAAGAGGTTCACAGCATTGATAGTGGATTATGGTTACTTCTGATTGATTTTATTTGGTATTTCAGGTTCTTGAATACTTCTTATTTTTCTGGTTTTTAAACTCTTTTGGGTTTCTGCATCTCACATATTAAATGTAGAGCTATGGTTGATCACCATTTTTCTAAGAATGGATGGTACATGCGCCACTCATGTATGGCATGCCATACACAGGAAATGTGGTATACTTTCCCATATCTGAGTATTGGATACCTTCTATATTCCTTTGACACAAGACTAAGATTCCTTATCCATTTCTTTGTCTAATACAACTAGTTCATTCCCCTAGTTTGTGTAAGTTTGTAATGCACACATGTAGACATGCACCTCTAGGGGCCTTGTTGATACCTAGTGGTTATGACACATCTACTGGCAAAGTGGTTGCCTAGAGTTCACACCCAACACCTGGAGTTCTGGATATTCTTTTTTGTTTCTCAATTTTCTTTCTGTCGTTGCCTTTTGCAAATTATTAAGGTTTTTGTTTTAAATTGAATATTTATACTAGGTGTCACAATTTGCTTCTGCTCGGTATCATCCACATTTGAATGGAATTTAGTAATGAATTGTAGCTTCTTGAAAAGCTTGGCATGATTAAACAATAGGAAGTGCTTGTATTGGGATCTCTAATTATTGCAATGGGATTGCAGGAGCTTCTTGAGTTTTGCAATCACAGGATGGTGCTTTTTGATAACGTAACTAAGGATGAGCATAAAAGAGTTGAGCAGATTCAACAGTTGCTAGACTTAGTTGATGTCGTCGCAACAGAGAATGGTGGACGACCTTATTCGGATGAGATTTTCGATGAACTCAAGGTGGTAAAACTCTCACAACTTTGTTATGATAAGAATAGAACATAGGGATGAGGAAGTGAGATATGGAAGAGAGGTGGGACCTAGTGGTTGGATGCGAAGAAGAGAAAAATAAGGGATATCCCATTTTCCTATATTTCTTTTGAAATCTTCGCGAGACTGTCCCTCTCCTATTTTTCTCCCACAGTTCTTTCATTGGGCTATTCCCTACTTTTCCTCATGCCTCTCTCTTGCTTCTTGATTCTTCCGGTTACCTCTTTCACACCTCCCATTATTTTATGACGACCACCTCTCTCTCATCCTAATTAAATGCAACTTAGGACGCTCAAACTTTGCCTCGCTTAGGGCTGTCACTGGTCACTTTAAGTTCTTTCTTACTTGTAGCATACCTTGTTTATTGATTTGTTGACCGATCATCTTGTTTTGTATGACAGAAAGGATCTATAAAGATACTTTCTCAGAAGAAAGATTTTGAATCAGAAGGGCATTCTGTTCATGATATGTCAACATTTACTGAACAACTGGATAAATCATATGCAGAGCAGCTTCATCGGATAACTGAGATGGTATTTTTGTATTGTTATCCTCTTTCACCTTTTGGTTGTTTATATGGATTTCTTTATCAGATATGCACAATCAAGAGCATCAGCAGCCCTCAAAAATGAGGTTCAGAATGGAGAGATCCGTACGGTTTTCATAACATGAGAGAGAGAGCCAATTTCATACTATGCAATCAAGATAGAGAGAGCGCCAATTTCATATTGATGAAAAGTTAATGCTTTTATTGTATATGGCCTAGGTGGAGAAGAAGCTGAAAGAGAACACTGAGCATCTCGAAAAACAGCTTGCCTTGGAGCGTAATGCAAGGATGGAGGCTGAGAAGCACGCCCAAGTTGAGCAAATGAGATCGAACGATGAAATCCGAAAGCTCAGAGAGTCCTTGGAGGCTGCTAAGCGTGAGACTGATGACCTCCGAAAGAAGGCTGAAAGTAGATGCTCCATTTTATGAATTTAGTTTTATTTTATTCCTTTATAATTCAAAATACATGATACAACTCCTCATCTTTATTATGTTTGCTTTTATCAAATTCAGAATCACTCTTAGTAGTTTTTGTACATATGGTACATCTATGATCTATATATTATGTATACCCTCTTTATGATTTAATGAAAGATACTTATTCCCCTTTTCTGAAAAGGCTTTATGCTCCCTATATCATGTTTAGTCATAGGACTCCAAATATTGGGGTGTGACATGATCTAGCGACTAGCATAAGAGATTTATATCCATTCTAGAAGTGCTTGAAAAAACTCACCCAAAATTGTCCAAATTTTTTGGACTGTTCAAATCTGGCTTTTCAAGAACTCAAACATCTCTCTTTTTGTAGTAATACTCAAGAGGGGTGGAAATGGACTTGGACCCAACCCAGGACCCGAGGGGTAGACCTGATCTGGGTTTGAGTATGGGTCCAAAAATTGGACCTAGCAGATCAGTCCAGGTCCAGTAATATTTTTTGGGTCCCAATATAGGAAATATGTTTAAATATAGTTAAAATACATAGATATTTTAATTTATGGGTCATGTTCAATCGGATCTGGTTCGATCTTGGTCCCACGCTATATTTTTGGGTCCCCGTCCCCGGATCTGATCCGACCCGTTGCCACCCCTAAATATTCATTTTGTGATTTATAGTGGATTCCAAAATTTCACAAAATCCTTCTAAGAGGGCCTTTTGCCCAAGGGAGCATGTACAATTGATCTTGCAGGAGCACCGTGTACACCGCTCTTTAGTTTTACCGTGTGATTTTACTCTCTTTTGGAGATAAAGAGCACCAGTCTAAATACATGTAGGACTGTATCACTTAGTTTAACATATGAGGCTAAAGGAGTCCTCCAATTCACCTAAACATTTTTCCTGTGTTTTTTTTTTTAATATTATAATATGTATGTGGACTTTCTGAGTATATATCAACTTTATTTGTTTTCTTTTAACTTGGATGGCCCTCAGTATTGTTTAACCTTCGCTCTTAACTTCTATCAAAATTTATAAGTTTCTCTTAAAATATAATCCTTAATAATAGTAAAAAAGGAAATGTGGCGTTGTCATTGACAAGGTTTCTATTTAGCTAGCCCGCATAATGTAGAAATGCGGGCTTGGCAATAAATATATCTTTAAAATATAATTTGATAGCCTGCATAATGTAGAAATGCGGGCTTGGCAATAAATATATCTTTTTAATATAATTTGATCTTAATTTTTAGAGAATATATAATATTTAACATGGAGATCATGAATATGAAATAATGATACTAAAAATTAAGATTAAGAAAACATTTGTACAGTTAGTTACACTTGTTTTTAGATGGACCGCCTATTTGCATCAATCTTTAAGATTGATGGTTGATACCTATGGACCGCATATGGTAGAAATGCGGTTCAGCCTGCATGAAACAATTTTCCTTTAATAAAGCATTAAAAACTCAAGAGATGAATTATTTAACACCTCACTCATTTTTTTTGATTTAATTCCAGAAAACCCATTAAAATACACATAATCATGACTTAGAATAGTTTGATTTTGAGTACTTGATATTTTTGGCCAGTATTGAACTGATCCCAAATAGTTGGGATTAGGGTTGTTAATGGACTGGGCTGGGCCTCGGCCTTTTGTGCCGGGTCTGTTAACAAGCTTCTACGGTCTTGTTAATGGGCTTCGGGCCAAGTTCATATAGACAATACTATTTATCGGGCCGGGCTTTGCCCAACAAGGTCAGGCTGGCCTGGTAAGCTCAAAAATGCTTCCAGCTTGGCCCAATGAATGCCTTTTTTTTTTTGGAAAAAAAAATCTTCACCATTCAAACATTCATTGTTTATAGTAAGGCAAAAAAATAAAATAAAAAAAGCCTAATATATTTTTTCAAAAATTTAAAACCCATACTCTCTCTCTAGAAATTTAATTTCTCTTTAAAAACTTATTCTCTTTAAAAACCCAATCTCTCTATCTCTCTCTAAAAACCCAATCTCTCTCTAAACCTTTTCTTTCTCTAGATATCCAATATCTTTTTCTCTCTATAAAAACTCAATCACTCTCTAAAATCCTCTCTAGAAATCTAATCTCTCTCTGAAAAACATGATATCTCTCTCTCTAAACCTAATCTCTCTTTTTATATCTAAAAACCTATTCCCTCTCTCTCTAAAAGTACATTCTCTCTTTCTAAAAACCCAATATCTCATTTTCTTTATAAAAACTCAATCTCTCTCTAAAAATTCCAAGGAAATCATTTCTCTCTTTTCTTTAACTTCACCCAAATAGAAAAGCATTCTACCTCTCTCTCTCTCTCTCTCTCTCTACTACTTCCTACAACTAAACTAC